ATTACTAATAATCCAAAGATCTTGTTCCCTTCTATCTGACCATTAATTTCCAGTATCTGCAATTATATCCTGTCTGACATGGTGAAAATCTAATACATACACATTATTTTTTTCAGTTAGCATTGGTTGCCTGCAAGCTATTACTATTAGTCATGTGACAAGCAACTACAGAATATGTTCTTCAGGCTGAAGTCTTCCAAGGCAATGCAACTTTACTGTCTATTCATGTATTTAGCCATAATCTTAGCTTTTTCTACTTCACAACACCACACATGCTGCAAACTTCCTATTTTATCCTCATTGCTTTACCCACATGTTCAAATGTAATGTACATTTGGTCACCAGCAACATCAAAAGATCCTGTGCTTTTGATGCAAAAGCCACGCATGGAGTAGCGCAGGTCTAGTCCATACCGGCAAAACAATCTCTGCAGCACAATGAACAATGTTATTCCCCAAAAGAGCAGTATCTTTGGGATGGACTGATACTGAAATGCAAAATGAAAACAAAGCATGGAAAGAGAAGCATAACCAATACTTCTTAATGCTGAAAGCACGTCTGCATCTTCTAACTGGTGAAGATTACTCGTCTGTTCTGACACTCAGTAATTATGGACCTAATTCTTGAATGCTACATGGGAAAACATACTAAAAAAGTACACTTACAGTACTGCTCTAAGGCTGACCTTTAAAACTAACTGGCATTGCCAGATTTTTTACCCAAATAGCCTAGGCTGAGTCTGAGAATCAAGAACAGGTAACTCATTAAAAGAGCTGTAAAGTGGTGAATTGCAGCTTTCTGTGAATTTTAGGTTAGGACACACGACACCCTTGGTTCTACTTCCTCACAAGCACCATCCTAAGTTCTAGTCGGCAGTCATATCTTGATGGCTGCCATGAGTTTTAACAATTGTATTATAGTGACTGAGAGGGCACTAGTATAGAGAAGAAAAAATCTGTAAAACAATTACTGAATTGGTTGCTAATAACGCCCTAACATAGATCTCTCTCACTCAAACACAAAAATCAATGCACAATGGTCCAGCAAGCATACTTTGTTTAGTGCAGGGTGAAAGGATTTAATAGGCAAACAAGGAGTTAATTATTGATCAGCAGTGAACACATGGTTCTGAATGTAGGTAAAAGACAGAGGGGACACTTACTGAATCTGCCAGGCACAACTCAGAACAGATGCCATAAGATAAATATCTTCTCTTCTGGAAGAGGGCACTCAAGCCAAGAAAGGTTAATCTGTGAAATGGCTCATTTTAAAAATTTGAAGTAGAGGTACTATGTGAACGTCCACATGAGCAGGCAAAAAGAAAAGATGGCAGAGAAACTTAAACTTCCAGACAACTTATTCAAAAGGAATACACATATGCACTTTGTATTTGATGGCAGCTCATGTAAGAATACATTTGTATGTAAGTTGTGTGGTCATACACACTACATGGCAGTAAGAACGTAGAACAGCATTTCAGACTAGTTTGGCGCTAAAGGCTTGAGAAGATACACAGTAATGTTGATTTAAAGTTCAATACATTTAACTTTCCTAAACCTGTATTTTTCCTTAGAAGAAAAGCAAGTACCCTTGTTTAGAACTGGGTGTTTCTCCAGCCAATGTGTTTGTCAAAACCAATGATTTAGCAGGACCCAAAAATATTTGCACAGAAATGCTGAATACAATAAACAGTTTCAGAGAAAAAGAAGTATGTGAATTTTCTAAATATTGTGAAATCTAATTTCAGTGCTTTAACAAATTTGTCTAAAACCACTGGCTTTTGGTTTGAAAAACTTTAAGGAACAAAAAGATAGGAGAGCTTCCTCTCTTCAAAAACTACATTAATAATGTCTGACTCAAAACTTTGGACTGATCCAAAAGAAGCCTTTTTTTTTCCCTTCTCCTCTGTGTGCTTAATTTTTGCCAGAAAAATGTTTGACTCCACGTACAATTTTGCTCCTACTCTAAACCATGTTTGTGTTCCCTGTGTTCCACTTTGTCTTCTGTACCAAGAGATTTCTTTATTTGCCCAGGCTTACAACTGATATGCTAAACTGAACCAACTGCCCTCATACTGTCAGTCTACCAACGCATTCAACTTGGCTTGCCTTCTGTAGAGAATAAAAGTAGTAAGAATACCAGTGCCCAAAATATGATGTTAACCAGGTGGTACAGGATTGCAAGAGCTTGCAACTAGGAAAATTTGCATTTTTTTTATCACAAATCCTTTTTGGAACCAAAACTGGATTATCAAAAAAGTTAACCTCTTAAGAAATAATTGTAAACATACCTACTTCCAACAATAGGTAAGATACTTCGAATGAATTAACTTTCTCTTCTTTTATATGGTTGCATTTTCTACATCTAGGTGTCTTTTTTTTAATTAAAAAAAAAAAAAAAAGTAAACCTAGAACCACTCTTACAGTTACAAGCAGATAAGGTTATTTTCCAGTAAGAAAGCAGGTAGCTACATTTCAGGAAGAAACAGGAAATCAGTAACTTTTAGCATAATAAGACACTAAGTTACATCAGCCCCTATCGACTTTACAACACCCAGACAAATTCAAGGCATTCTAGTTCTCTAGCAATGGATCAGCCTGTTTGTTAGCAAGGTGGTTAAACAAGCTCCACTTTCTCACACCTAAAAATGCAGCCATGGAAGGACAAAATTGAAATTGGTCTAATTCTTTAACACTGCTTCCACCCTTCATTATTTACAGTTTAGATTTTGATTAGACTTTTAAAAAACCTAATACAGAAATGTAGTTTCCAAGTACTGCTTGGAAGTTACTGCTTTGATTTTTTTTCCCTTCTGTTTATATTTACTGGAAGTCATTCTTTTTTGTATTTTCAAAGTATTTCATGTAAACTGAGGACCAGGTACCTTAGGTTTGACAACAGAGCTTATGATGGTGGTTATTTTAAATCTCTAAGATTATTCCCTTTGCATCATAATCCATTCCCTGCGGTAAAACCGTAACGTTGGAGCAGATTCAGTGGAATCAAAATTTTACCCACATCTTCACTGCATGCAGCACCTGTAAAATAGAAAGTACTCCAAGACATAGAGATTTAGAGGCAAGTAAAGAGCCACAGATGCACATTAGGAAAGGGACTCCAGCAAAGCAGAACTTCTCAGGAGCCATTCGGATGTGGGGGGAATATTCAGACAACTAGTGACCATATAGAATTTGCCCGAAGCTACAACTGAGCTTACTATGTTTGCATATGTTTTATAGCAATTCCTACAGCTGCGATCCTCACTTCTAAAAGAAATTTTTAATACTAGTCCAAAACAGAAGACAAGGATTAAAGTCTAGTAAAACTGCTGCAAGTGTACCCAGGTCAAATTTGATTGCTCAGGTACAGCCACTTCGATATCCAGCCAAGCAGAGCAGAACCACACATTAGTCACCGAGCACCAAGTTTTATGTTACTAGATATTTCTGTGCTCCAAATGCCGTAAGACATTAATTATCATGATGCTGATAGAAGCCATTGGTATGTTCTCTTCAGTTCTGCTGTTCCTCTGTTTTTCTGCTATGGCCAGAGAAAAAGGCCTTCATCAGTCTATACTAAAAAAAACCCCAAACATGCCACTTACTTCTGTCAACAGCCTGACAAAGAAGAATGTGTTAGGTGTTAATTCAACATACTGAAAACCAGTGAAAGACTAATTCGCCTTCCTAAATGAGAAGGACAGACACCTTCTAGGGAGAAGGATATTTCAAAATATTATGACAGAGCAAAGAAAAAAAAATATACATCACTTGGTTATTTTAAGTCATATTCCCTCTCTCTGCTTCCCTCCAAAACCCCCTATTTGCTGGGTGGAGGACAGCTATTTCCTTTGTTACCAAAAAACCCCAAACATCTTTGAAATTAGTCTGATAAGGAAAATACTATGGCATGACTCAGTGGGTGTGGTTAAGTTCTAGAAGGTTTCAGCTAGCATTACTCTTCACTTATGCAGACATTGCTTAAGATATTGTCCAAGAAAGAAGAAGTTAAGACAGATATCAAAAGAGGAAAGCTCATTTAAGCATAGTACACAGAACTTGATTACAGGCTCTCGTATAAGTAACAGCACGGTACAGAGGACAGCCAAGACAGGGACCAGCCCTCCTACCCAACAGTAAATTCAGTCAGTTCAAGACAGCCAACTTGAGATTACCTTGGAGAATGCAAGTTGGATGTTTGGGAAATAAAGATGCTGTCCTGAAAATTAAACAGAGTTTAAGTGAACCATATATATATAAAATAGTCCTTTCTTCCCATTGTCATTAATGAAAAACATTTTACAGGGCAGAAACTGGCTACTAAAGCCTGGATGCATCTGCAATATCAGAATTCATAAACAACCTCATGTATATTTACCCCCAAAAGGAAACCATTCTATTAGACTACCAGTTAGTGTAGCTGAGGCAGATAAGTAATCAAGATTGAACTTTACCATAACAATCTTCTCCCTTTACCCCCAAGCTGTTATTTTGTTGGTAAGACTGTTCTTGCCTTTATTACAACATGAACAGACTACATACTAATATTCCTCCTTTGTCTCCAAAAAAATTCCATCTCAAAACATCAGTCTTGCTCAAGTGTAAATCTAAATCACCTTTCAAAGATCGGTTAGTTTCAACTATTTTAGTTTAAGAAGTAGTCAAACTTGTCTAACAAGATGATCACTTACTTTCAGCTTTCGAAATCCTCCTCCAGCTAGAGGAAACATAACCATTCATAACAAGGTAAAAACCACATAGCTTTCAAGTGAATTTAAATGCGGGAAGGAAATAACATTTTCAGGAATCTAAAATTAAGCCAAAAGCATGAGGCTTCTACTAGGAGAGTAGATTTTAGCTTCTAGTATAGACAAAAATAGTCCTCTGTTGAAAGGAAACTGGAAAGAATTATGAAGAAAAAAATCCCACCTTAGTGCAGTGTCTGTATAGGAATGAAAGTGATTTATTTATATTACACACAAAGATTTTTATTAAAAAGGCTGGTAATGGAACATTTTATTTTAATGCATCAACTTGATAAAAGGTTAGTTACAGAAATTGTGTATAATGTTGTATAAGTCACATGGATGGGTTATTTAAAAAAAAAGATTTGATAATTAGAGGAGGACATCTCTTATTTTAGTTACATCGTAAAGTGCCTCGTATAGTCATATTCTATCGTTGGAATGACCGCCTGTACAAATTTCAAGAAAATAAGAAGGTACCTGAGTTTCTTGTTAAGGAAAACGTGCAATAGCTAGAAATCCTGTAAAGCAAAAGCAGAAGTCACATTCAATGGTCTGTTTAACAGCATTTCTTGCTAATAGGAAAATAACACCTAGCAATTATACAGTTAAGAGACTGGGAAATTAATAAGGCAGAACTCTGGTAATGACATCTGAGGCTTGCCCAAACATACAGACCTTCTTGTTTTCAGTTAAAGCAGAGGGAATCAGGAGTGACTTTCAGTAAATCTTATGAACACTGCACAAACATTTACAATCCCAGCTACATACTTACTATTTGTTATTAACAAATGCCAAAGTGAATGTCACCTAGCAAGGCTAATCCCTAGCTACCTTCCTTTAGTGCCAGGGAAAGCAGGCTCCTCCCTCTCTGGTTCAGTGGCTCAGAAAAAGAAACAGGTTCCTGGTTCTGAACCATCCTTTGAAAGAACTCATTCGTGTCGATGAGGGAAAGTAGAGATATGAACTTTGCTAAACTGAGAAGTCTACCTTTGTAGAGGAGACCTTCCTTGTCTCCCTTGTGTATATCACCTTCAAATGGACGCAGGGCCTGAATCTGCAATCTGGAGTATATTGGGTAATTATAAACTAAAGCGTCTGTCCACCTGGGACTGCGGCAGACAGTGCACTGAAAAATGAAGATAAATCACTACTTTCAACTGATAATTAAGTTACATTGGTACTGGATGTAAGTAAAACCTACTAATTTGGCACGTCAGTCTCATGGACCATTTCTTGACAAACATAAACTATATGATAATGAGGGAAGAAACTGCCTATTAAAAACCCCTCAATTTGTTTAGCAATAGCAAAAAAAGTAATAAAAATCTTGAAAATAAGCTCTTTCTAACTATTGAGGAGTAGAAGACTTGAACTACCTTGCCAGAAAGTTATTTTCCAGTTCAGCTTCAGTTGCTTGCTTCACAAATTGAGCAAGTCTCAACTCATACAGTGAATGAGAATTTTACTGATTCAGGGCCTATAGCTGCTCAGTAATCCCACCTTGCTTGCCTTATAGCAGCAAAAGCAGTTAGAACGTTATGGTAAAGGAACACGCTTGCTTCTAACGTGGAGGTTACTTCAGTCAGAAAGCACAGTATGAATTACTACAAAGCAAAACTAAGATCAGTCACCTCACTAAAAGAAAATTCTAATTGTGAGGCATTTGATATTGATGTTCAGAACCATTTCAGTAATTTTAATTGGTTTTTTTTATCAGCTGAAAGTTTTACCAAGATATTGTTCACATGCAGAGTAGAGAATAACGGGACCTTTAAACCTTTCAGAAATGAATCTTAGATTCAAATCTAATACAGAAGGTGCTGTACCAAGAGGAGTCACCACACTCTGGCACAGAGTCTATGAACCTCCCAGCCTCATCTTCCTACACTGGGATCTCATTTTCATACTCACAGCTACCTCCTTTGCACACCTACAAACAAGGGCTCAATCCTGTCCCTTCAATCCTACCTACTTTCCCTGTTGCTCCTGCCATCCTCCTCCTGCCCCTAACAACTGATTAACAGAATTTGTTTGCACTAAGGAGCTCATCCCAGAACTCTAGTAAGCGCTTCCACAAACAGTTATTTACTGCTTTCACACACAATTGCATTCCAGTTCAGGAACCTTGAGGTAACAGCTCCTTACACTGCAAGAAATCTCTAATAGTGTACGAGTAATGAAAAAGGATACATGTGAACTCCAAGTTCTCCTCCACCTTCTGCAACAGTCTCAATTATTTTCTTCATCACTTCTGCATGCCTGAAAAACAGATCAGAAACAGTGAAAATAATTATTTTAAAAAGCAACTTCCTCTTCATCTCAGTAATATCAGGTTTTGTGCAAATTAAATAGTGTTGGACTGTTAGCTTCAGAAGCAGCAAGAGGAAGCTTTCAGTTTACTAAGGAAAAAAATTCAACAATAACAGAAAGTTAACACTAAATGATGAATGTAACATTATTTGCCAGCTCTTTACATTCACAAGAAAGAAAAAGATGCTCTATGCTACAGCGTAGACTGAGTGCTATAATGATTGTCAATACATATTGCTTGTCACTAGGGTAATTGTTAATTGCTAAATGCCAAAGAAGCGACCAGAAGGTAATCCTCACAAGCAACAAGCCACCAGATGACTCCTGAAAAAGATGCCTAGAAATTCCTGCAACTTTTTTAGCTGCTTCTGCTGCACTCTTAAATTTGTGGAACTTAGGAGGTATCAAACACTTATACAATTCATAGTTTCCTAGGAAACCAACTCTGCAGAAATTAAGAACTGTTGTTCTCAGACTAACAGGTTATGGAAACTTCCTCTGGCTACAGCAGTAACTTAGGTTCTGTGGCAGATCAACAGTTTCGAAGTGAGCTGCTTCTCTCTAGTCATTCTGTTATTGTAAAGCACTATAGGGGAGGACAAACATTTCCTCAGGTCACTGTGTTCTGACATTAAGTCATCAGTGACATACCAGACCTACTGTGAACTACATAAACATTTGTGTATGAAGCTGATCCTAGGAATACAACATGGAATCACCAAATAGCTAAGGCTGAAAAAGATTGGTCATCATCTACTCCAACCCTCCTTGCTCAATGAGCAGTAAACCAGAACAGACGGCTCAGCACCTTGTCTGGTCTCGTTTTGAAAATCTCCAACAATGAAGACTTCAAATCTTTTCATGACTGATTACACCTCAGAAGTAATAGTCTGTGTTCAGGTTAGTTGTTATACCCCGTAAACCAGGGGATGAAGAACATGTGAAATTAGAAGGGACAACTACTGTACGATTAATTTACATTTTATTTATATATATATTACACAAACTCCTAGGTTGTACAACTCATCTTACTTTTATCTACACTTCCACTTTGTTTTAAGTCCATGATTAGGACATTCACCTACACAACACTGCAAGCTAGTTAACAGTAGTAGTTTAAAATACCTGTCCTGAAACAACCTATGTGCCTACCGAGAACAAGGAGCTGACGAGTAACTGGCATTTAGTAGTTACTGCCAAAATTAATCATGCTGCCAGCAACTACAAACACAAGGAAGGAAGCTGTTGCAAAGTTACCAAGGCACATTGTAAACAGGAACATGAAAGTCTGGGGAAACACTACAGGTCAGCATTTGTCATTCACTGTGCTGTTGGTCTTTGCAAATCAGCTAACTCTTGAGCTGATTCCAATTCTGGATCCTCACGATTCCCCTGCAGAACACATGCCGTATCAGAAGCCAAGGCCCGTTGGTTCTATATAAGAACCTGGCAACTGTCAAAGTTTTGACCTCGTCCATAACAGTGGACTATTTTTTGTCCTGGCACAGCATACAGGTCACCCTACAGCTATGGAAAGTATTGAACAGGACACTGGTTCAACTTCATGCATCTCAATGACATTTGTTCTTTGCTGTTTTCTAAGGGCTAGTTAGATATCTGGAATTCCATAATGGCCACAGCAATGGTCATTCTTACTGCCATACAGTTACTTATGAAAAGCTTTGCAGGTGCTTTATAAACTTTCAAAAGTTTGTTTCCTGTTTTCAGTTTCCTTCTATAAGAAAATTTTGAGGAATTAATATGAAATATGTATACTCCCTCAATGGAAAGCAGTAAGATAACTTTGTGAGAAATGTCATCTAAAGTATCCTGCTATCCAGAAATCACAATTTTTAATATAGATTTTTTTAAATTTTTTTTTTAAGTAACTCTTAACTCAAGATGACTAAATACACTACATGTTCACCAGCTCTTGTTCCAGGACCTGTTTGTAGGTCACTTGAAATGTATGATCTATTTGATATCTAAGACCTCTACTAAAACCCACCTAATTTACTTTCTAGTATATTAACCAACTCTTGAGGTGGTTTAAGTAATATAAATGAGTTACTATTCATATTCCAAGTTAGAAGTATTGCCGTTCCTATTGAAAATAAATTGAGATATATTAAAATCACACACTAAGGGGTTAAAAATAAGTTGAAACAAGATGATTTCTTAGTTTGATTAGATGACCCTTCATGCTCTCATCAGGAATATTCACTTTCCAGCTGAAGAACCCTTCTCCTGCTCTGCAATTGACCAAAGCTGTCAGTCAAAGTATTTGTTATTAACTTCACATTGGAATTCAGCACAGCTGACATACTGACACTGTCTGAGTATCAGCTGGAAGGGAAATACACAGCATCAGAAAGTAAAAGTAAAAAATAAAAGCCTTCCTGACACATGGGAAAAAAAATCCCAACACTAGAAATTATTCATTTCCCCCCCTCCTTTGCAGTTCATGGAGATAAAAGGCCTCCCACAAGGCTTTCAGCGTAGTGGACAACAACTACATGCTTCAATAGCAAATGGTAAAATGCAAGACTTTTTAGGACAGTGAACTTTAGAGAGAAAAAAAAGTATGAATTTGATTCAGTGTCTGTAACTGCTCACACACAATGAGACAGGCGTGGAAAACCCCACAAACATCACCATCAGGAGAAACTTTCAGAATCTGCAACAGTTGGTTAACTTTAAGATCTACAATTCACTGATCCTTGCAGTTGCCTCTAGTCACTTCCCTGCTATAGAGTATATAAGAAGGAAGCTTATCACTGTTTATTCTGAAATAGAGAAAAATAAGCCTTTGGAATTAGTTCAAATAATTAAGATCTAATTGTAAATGTATTTGGTGGTTAACTAGTTTGATAGTCCCTCCATAACACCCACATTAAAAAGCTGAGAATTGTGATTAAAGGGGTCTGCAGCAATTAATGAGGAAGTTGACTATGTTCCTCCCAGTACCATAAAAGTGCTGACAAGAAACACAACATAGGGCAGAGCTGCAAGATGAACAGTTTCAACTCACTACTCAAAATAGAAGCAATTTCGAGAAGCTGACAGCGGCACGAGACTGCCATCTCTTTCCTTTCTCTGACGCATGACATGGTGATACACACGTCAAAAGAAACAGCCAAGTAGGTTTAGGACCATCCAAAAACCATACATTACACAATTCTTGTAACCTGCAAGGAAGCAGCAGCAGCAGAGCTAAGCACTAGTACTTCCTAGCCAAATTAAGAACAAACCAACACTTTTGGCTATTATTTTTCACCTCAGAAGCCCACACGTTGTTAGCTGTTAGCCTTACCAATTAAAGAAAACAGAATCACAGAATGTTGGGGATTGGAAGGGACCTCAAAAGATCATCCAGTCCAACCACCTGCCGGAGCAGGAACCTAACCGAAATCACACAGGAAGGCGTCCAGGCGGGTCTTGAATGTCTCCAGAGAAGGAGACTCCACAACCTCCCTGGGCAGCCTGTCCCAGTGCTCTGTCACCCTCACTGTAAAGAAGTTCCTTCTCAAGTTTAAGCAGAACCTCCTGTGTTCCAGCTACACCCATTGCCCCTTGTCCTACCATTGGGCATCACTGAGAAGACCCTGGCTCCATCCTCATGACATTTGCCCTTAACATATTTATAAATATTAACGAGGTCTCTCCTCAGTCTCCTCTTCTCCAAGCTAAAGAGACCCAGCTCCCTCAGCCTTTCCTCATAAGGGAGATGTTCCACTCTCTTAATCATCTTGGTGGCTCTGTGCTGGACTCTCCCCAGCAGTTCCCTGTCCTTCTTGAACTGTGGGGCCCAGAACTGAACACAATAGTTCACCTCGAAGGGTAAGAGAACATACTTAAAACATCCATCTTAGATACGCTGTTAGCCTCTTTCTTCACAGTCTCAAGAAGACCTTTTCAAACCTTTCCAATGTTAAGCAGTTGCCAGTCAACTAGATTGCTTTCTGAGAAGGACTAAAGTTTCCTCCACATTTAAGACTATCAACAAATCTGTCTCACCATGACATCAATCAGTTCTTTCATGCTTAAAAGACTACTTGGAACAAGTGTCATGATGCAAACCATTTCTTTGAATGTAGATGTGGATTACATAACAAAGGCACTGGCATTTCACTGGCTTCAGAGGAAGAAGTGAAAACATACACACTGAGCTGTCATCCATGAAGACACTCAATCCAAATTCATACCAGCATTAAATTGGCGAGCACCAGTCCAGACGGTTTTTTAGTATCTCCAGGGAAGGAGACTCCACAACCCCTCTGGGTAACCTGTCCCAGTGCTCTGGCACCCTCACAGCAAAGTTCTTCCTTATGTTCAGGTGGAACCTCCTATGCTGCAGTTTATGCCCATTGCCTCTCATCCTATTGTTGGGTGCCAGTGAGAAGAGTCTAGATCCGTCCTCTAGACACCCTCCCTTTAGATATTTAAAAACATTAATCAGATCCCCCCTGAGCTGTCTTTATGCTGTTTTCTGTTCTATTCTTTATTCTTTTCAGAACACTTTTCTAAGTTCTGCTTCCTGTACTACTCTTGAGCACCAAGACTGACATTTCCACGGGTCTGTTGTGTTCCTCTAGACTTAAATCTGAGGATTTTAATTTTACTACTTTAAATTTTTCTACAAGACAGCTAAACTGGGGAAAAAGTTATTTCCCTGTTGTATAATGGCTTCTCTGCTCAGTATTTTCCAGATATAAGTCTGACTGCTTGCTGAAAGCAAAGACTGTTGTAAAGCAGTAGTTAAAGAACTATGAACAGGAAGAAACACAACATAACAGATTTACAAAGCCCATGAATATATGTGCAAAGCTTCCTTGCTCTCTCTCTCTCTCTCTTTCTCTCTAAAGAATGTTATACCCTTCCCAAAACTAATCTTATGATCAAATAATTCCTAAACCAGAAACAGGAATGTTTTGAGTCTGCAAAAACTATGACAAGCTTGTCAACAGACTTGTCAAAACTATCACAAGCTGATTATCTGACACCTCAGCTAGTGATATGGATCCCAGAAATGTTTCTTTAAGTCAAAAGAAATCACAAGACTTAAAAGGGCAATCATGATTTTTATTTTTTAAACATATGCAAGACTACAAAGGGTGTCTCTTTTAAAAATGAGATAAAAACCCAAACTCATTTCTCTAAGAACATCACACTATCAAGAAGCTGAGGAGTTACACTATTTAAGATATTGGCTCTGTATCACTGAGACACCTAAAAGGACGTTAGGGCCTACATTCTAAGACAAAAGACACCTTCCAAAGACCTAGAAAAAATATCTCTGCAGCTAGTCGAGCTACAGACTCCCTATGTCTTGAGTGAGAAATGTGGAACAGAAAAGACTATAAAAACATAAGTGCATTTTGCACTTGAGTTCAAGTATTTCAGGGTGGCAATCAGAGGATATCTATTTATCAGTGTAAAATTTCAAGGACTTCTAGGAGAGCAGCAGGTAGTTATTACAAAATAAGACAGAGTTATTTCATGTTCAAATAGCTTTTTCTGCTCCCAAAGTATACACTATACTTTTATCCTCCCCAAAAAATAGCAGAAAGTATAGGAGAACTTTCTTTTATAGCGTTCTAGTAGTTTGCCATCTTGTGGAGTCTATAGGGAAGTGGAGGAAAAGCAAGTTGAGCAGAGAGAAGACAGCTCTAACTGCAGAAAACACTTGCAGCAGTGAGCACTGGAATAAGAATTGCTAATACCTTCCTTTCATACTCCCTCAGAAGCTAACAGACCACTATGGCAGCCACATGTGGAAATATGTCCAGAAAACCTGAACCAAATCCTTAACAAGACCAGTGAAGTGCCTTTGTCTGCATTCTGAAGCAGACCAGAAACAACGACTTACCTGCACGGATGAACTGAGCACATGGGAGGTGGAGGAAGATGAGGATGGTTTTCAATGGTCACTGTTTTCTTGACATGATCTTGACTAATGTCTTCATACATATGCTCTACTGTTAAAGGCTGCCGTTGCTATACAGGAAAAAGGAACACAAGAACAAAAGCATTTCTAACAAAGAAGTGCTGAGAAGGAGCAAAAGATTCTAGCAGCACGAACAGATGAAGCATTACAAGCATCTAATATACAACAGTACTGAAGGTACCACGTGTGTTTAAATCCATAGGGTGTAGAAATGGTCCTGCACAAATTTTTGGTTTTAACATACCAGGTGAATTGTAAAGTCAGTGTATTTGAGAACCATCTAGGTTCCCATCTAGGTATTTGAGCTGTAAGCCCAAACCAGCTTTAACTCAAGAAACTTAGTCATTAAAGGGAAGAGTGATTTATCTAATCCCCTCCCTCTGAAGATCATGAAAACACATACTTGCTTACTTAACTAAGTTTACTAGGGTTATTACTAGCTCTACAGAGTTAACAGAAACTCAGATGACAGAGCCTGATTTCCTTCCTTCCAAATGTGCTCAGTTACCAAGTCCAATTTTCATTGAAATTGTTCCTACTTCCTGCAAATACCATAAGTCCTGTCTGCAACTCTGACGGTACCATGGTTTTCTCACCATTTTTTCCTTTGAAATTCTACTATGAATAAGGAAAAAACCAGCCTTGCTATTTGACACGGTGAGTCTTATTTCACAGAAGCGGGGAAAAAAACCAAACACAGCTATACCTCATCATATCCAAATAACCAGAGCCTTGGAGTTTGGTAATATTTGTCATATGTGATGTAGAGGTCATAAGTTCTAGTCTGTAGAATAGCATCTTCTCCTCCAACATCAACTTTAGATTTGTTAGCTTCTACAATCTGTCTTGTGTCAAGCGTTGCCTGGTTCAAGGTAAAAATAACAACATTAGTATAGTCTTGTTTGGGTTCCCTCCTCTCCCATTCTAAGTGGTTACATAAAGCTGTAAAACTGGAATTAAAGTTCTTAAGTGAGTATTAAAAAAAAATAATAAAAAAATAGACTTTTGGGTTTTGTTTTTATCTTTAAATCAGGAATATCAGTTTCTCTCCCGCTAAGTGGTTTGTGGTTTTATTTTTGGTGGAGTTTTTAATTTTTTTTTAAAAAGGTCCAATTCCTTAAGGAAGCATGCAACTATCCTGTCATATCCCCCTCCCTTCTTTCACCAATAACTTTTGAACCCAACAGACAATTCCAATTAAATTCGGAAGGCAGAGGTCTCAGTTTATGCAGGTACATGAAAGCCTTAGCAGAGTACCAAAATAATCACGCTCTCTGTTTTCTCTCATGACAGCCTGGTGCATCTGTGTAATCCACTGAATCTGTGAAGCACTCATCCTTCACGCGTAGGCCTCAAGAATAACCACAGCATTTTTTACCTGTTATGCTGTGTGTAAGCAGAACAAAAAGGATCAGGAAAAAAAGCAAAATTACTGTGATCAAAATCTTTGAGAACCTAAGTGATAAGGTTACTGCAGTAGGTTGGCAGGAGATAAATCCACAGGAAACCAGGCTCAGTAATCTCACTGCTCGTAACTTGTTATGTCAGCCCCTTGTTATCATTGTTTTTACTTTGCCTGTGCTCATATTGGTGATAAGCACGGTAACAGACAAGATAGAAAACTGTTCACTCACATCATCTGTCTCCAATAGCCCACTTTCTTCATACTCTGAAAAGAAGACCCATAAAATTCTGTGTTCAGCTTGTAACTAGTCATCATATTTCTCATTCATAAACAACTCCTTTAAAACAATCTACATGTATCTAAAGATGATTTATTCAGGTAGGCTTCCCAATCCCCAAACCAGACTATAGCTTTTTTAACACAGATTTGACCAAGACTACAGTAAATACATGATGAACAATCCTTAAGTGGTTTTAAGTAGGCAGACTGAGTTTAAGTGTAGATACGAAGCGCGAAGGAAGCTGTGCTAAATCCCTAATTTATACTTGCTTGGATCTGTTCTGCTAATTAATTAATTTCACAGTCACTAACATTCACACAGGTTTCAGCACACAAGTTAGAGTAAACATGCATCAACAAGATCATACAAAAGATGTTAAAGAGTGTATATCTGCTCAATTTTTCAGCGTGTACTCCATGAAAAAAGAGTAGTGTTTTCTTAGAGTGTACTGCTTTAGCTAAAGGCCTGAAATAAAGCACATCCCACTCAATATAAGGAAATACCTTCCATGTCTGCAGCTTCTCCTTCATCTTCCTCATCATCATCTTCACAAGATGCTGAACATTCCGGTATTTTTATATTATCCTTTAGAAGTTAAATTGAAAACACTGCTTTAAAGACTGCTGGATCTATACAACCTAACAGCCCCAGCAAATTTAAGGTACAAGTCCAGTCAAAACATAGAGCGAGCCAGAAAAATAATTTCTGCAATATTAAAAAGGACTACACTGAACTCAAGTATTTGCTTATTAACCAAACTTAGTATCAAAGTCCTAGTAGGACATTAAAAATCCACTGAAAAGTTCTCCTTTGACTTCGTAATCTGGAATGATTTAATTCCTAAGCAAAGAAGAATAAACATCATGTTAAACAGACCATAATTGCTTTTCAAAAAACCCACGTATCTGAAATGAAAGGCAATGACTAAACAGCTATGACTAAACACGTAGGTTAAGATTCTGTATGTCCCAACCCACAGCCAACTGCGCAGCAGTTATACAATCACAGAATATTTCACGTTGGATGGGACCCACAGAATGATTGAGTCCAACTCCCTGCAGGACTACCTAAAATTAAATCGTATGACTAAGAGTGTTGCTGAGTTCCATAAACTAAGAGCATCACCCAGTTCTGTAATTGTTTTTAAAACACAAGAGAGTCCCAAAAGATATCACATTTTGATATCACTGTCTGATATAGCACAGTCCAACAGAAATGAATACAGCACAAGCCCTCAGCCAACTTTTTTTTAGGCATTGTGAGCCAATGTATAGGCATCTGAACCCGACAGACAACCCCAGTGAAGCTCAGAAGGGGGAGGTCTCAACTTCTGCAGGTTTCATAAAGAGGAAAATTCAAAGGAGGAAATGAAAAAATTAATTTAGGAGAATACTCCAAATAATGATTACAATTAGAAGCTGCTCTAATTGTCAGCATCAGGTGGATGGTTTCCTCATTAAAAAAAAAAAAAACAAACCAAAACACCAAAACCAGTTAGAAACTAAGTTGTGAAGTGCTTTGGCAAACAGAACATTAGCAAAAGAAGAGCTGTCCTTCTGGGCTGGACCTATGGTCCCAGAAATTAAGTACTGTACAACAAGCAAGTTCTTCTACATACAATATATTAGAAGTGAAATCCAATTCATAACACACAACAGCAGCTGTGAATCACAATAACATTCTGCAAGTATTGTGTTTCACAGAAATAGCCATCACCTTTAGGTGATCCTTAGGAATGTTTCTGCTACTCTTACGTTACTGACTTGTGAAAAAGCAGTATTTTCATTATGTTCAGCACAGTCTCACTTGAAATACATTTATTCCACAGTTCATCACATCAATAACTTCTTGAGCTGTTTAGAACTGTGCAATAGCATGTGGCAGTCCATTCTCTTTCCCCCTAATTTTTAGAATCCAAAGCTCGGTGCTTGGATGGTTAACAAAGTCTCACAGCATACAAATAGAACTCCACTTTAACAACCAATTAATCTTTAAAAGCATTTTGTGTCTATGACTTTCTCCTAATTTCTTAAACATGTTAGTTAACACATTTCCATTTCAAATACTTCCAACTCTTCTCAGTTTCCTGAGGACTTAAGTTTCAGATTTGGCTCCTGCTGCAGGGGGACACTTTGGAAACGTGCAGAAACTGATGGCTTTGTAACATGTATACATTAAAAAAAATTTAGTACTTCTAAATTTGAGGGCACAAGCCTGTCAAACAGGACCAAATGTGTTAAAACGCTACTTGGAGTAGTTAAAGATTACAAAGAAATTCTTTACATCCCTACGTTATTTTTCCATATAAATATTTCTTTACACTGGGATCTCCAAACATTAGTTTCTTGAGACACCAAGGTGAGGTATCACTGTAAACAGTATTTCATTTTCAGTTCATAGAAGCCTGGCACAAGAGCACACTGGTTAAAGACATTCCAAAAAAACCACTGCCTTGGTAGACACCGCATAGTAATAAGGAGATGCACACGCTTAGGCTAGTATCACAGGCTCTGAAGGTCAATGTATCTCTGCAAAACACCTAGTGACAACATACTTTTTAATCTTTCACAAGCAATACTAGATTGCTGCAGGTAAGGCTGCTATTACCTTTTGGGTCCTGTAATAAAGCAAGAGGAAAATTTAGAAACAAGTACCTTACTGTCTAGTGTGATCTCCTTCACCGCTTCTGTTGCACCCACTATGCCTGTTAGTTGAACAAGAAGTTTGCATTACAAAAGCTTGTTTCTTTGTTACAGAATAGTACAGAAAGAGGCTGCAAAGATTTCAGAAAGCAGCATATGATATTTTCAAGTTACATCTCACAACAATTTTGATCTGTGAAGGGCTGTTTATTTGGTATTGGTAGCATGCTTGGTGCTGGACATCGATAAACAAACCATACCAGCAACATGGAGCACAACAGCACAGCTCTCGCACATCATACAAATTTTGTTGATGGAGCACCGCAAAGTAATTTGAATTTTTATTTTAAGGAATTTTTGCATAAAAGTGAGTTCAGGATAGGCATTCACGTCACAATCATGGAACTCAACTTCATGACCAAGACATGAATTTATGAATATTTCTGAGCATCTTGAAAGCAAGGTGTTTAATGACAAAGCACAATCTACCAGAACACTTCATGCTTTTAGCTGAGAGGAAATGGGGGTAAAAACCATCCCAAATCACAGTAGTATCAACTCTTGAGTTAATCTCCATTAGCTTTCTAGGTGTACTGCAGCTCTCACCTAGTACTCTTTGGGATACGTGACAAGATTCTGCTTTGACATAGTACTTTTATCTAATTAACTCTTCAGCTAAAAATAAGTTACATCATTATGGAAATGAACCTGGAATCAAGTAACTGTTCATCAGAAATTACTGTCTGAAGAAAAAGAATGCCAGCTGAACGCTGCTTGGAAACAATACATTTCTAGCACCTGTGTGATCATTTACACGTGGGTTTTTTTTTTTTCCTAGCAGAAAAAGTGGAGTTATCATGGACATCTATACAAACAGGTGGAAACAGATTTTTTTAATCTCCTTTGATGGTGTTTGGAGATCTGGCCAGGTCTAGGCAGAATCGTACCACAGTACGATGCCAAAACCAGTCAACGCTAAAAAGAAAGACTTGGCAGAGGAGTCTAGCCACAGCAGAAATGGAGAATGCCTCCTTAATCCCAGGATATGACAGAGCTATGTCACACGATTCTTTGGTGCAGGGTGCTCAGTTATGAACTGTGATACATTTAAGAATTGCCAGTGATGAAAAATGTACATCTACAGAAACAAAAGGTATCTTCTCCCACTCTTCTTCTCTCCAGCCTGGCTGAACTTTTTAGAGAACTTCTTTCACATTACAGCCAAGAATTTACACCAAAGTAAAAACTGAGTGGAGTACCTTCCAGGTTTGGAAATGGTGGAGAAAACATCGTTGAAAGACAGAATTTTATTAACTCAAGACAGAACATGAAGAAACAGTCTGAAACTAATAAAATTGCCAACTCTGGGAAAAATAAGAGGATTTATACAAGGCTGTGCTAAAAAAGCTAATGAGATAGATTAATGTAAGCAGTAATTTTCAGACTTCTTTATAAACACAAGCTCATCTAAGGTCTCAGTGTAAAAAAGGATAACCTCCCACACTCACTTCTGCATTTAAGAATATTTTATTTTTTTTAGTGCCCTCCTTCCCACAGTGACCTCAGATACTAAGATAATACCTACTTTCTAGTGATGCCCCCTTTTAGCTCAAACAAATAATTCAACGGAATGGGAAACACTGAAATAATTAAGTCAGTTGAGGTCATAATTAAGATAAAGATCTCTGCATGCTTCACATGCAATCTTACTAAACAAGAGAAATTTGCATATTCTTCAAACAAATAATTTAAACCAGCATTCTCTTCACAAAGTCTTCTAAGCAATGAGCTCATTTTTTAAAATAACTTCCTAGAACTTTTTTATAGGAGAATATTGAAATACTTTACTGTCAACACCTCTAAAAAGCAGCCTGTTTCAGGCATATACAGGAATACAGTTAAATACTCGAGTAGTCATATAACAATCAAGTGGGTAGGTGACAACATCACTTATTTCTTCCAGATTAGACACTAGTACAGTCATCTATACATAAAACAGATTTTACCTTCTAAACATGGAAACTGAAAATCTTTCAGATTACCAAATGCAAAGTCTGAAGCAAGACTCTGAATACCTGCATTGTGAAAAGTGTCTACCCATCCCCCATCACCATCATCTTCCTCTATAATTGCTTCCTGCTCATCCGAGTACTCCATCTGCTTACACCTTTTGTAGCACGGCACTGCAAAAGATTGCAAAACAAAATGCAGTCATTCCTACACAAAACCAGACTGGAGCAAGAAATTATCCTACCAGGCCTTCTGAAATGCGGTAGTCTCTCATATATCCTTATTTAAAGAATCCTAAAAGCATCTTTCAAATGCAAAACCATTAATTTAAAAATTATGGTGATGTGCTACATCAGATACTTTATTTCGTGTACAATACAACACTTGCAGTGGCCTTAAATGTCCATTCTTCTGTTACCCATTAGAGCACTTTCACCCAAACTCTTAAGGATTAGAAAAGAATTAACTTCTCATTTGCTAACAACCGGAAACAAACTAGTAGCTTTCTTCACATTACTAAACAACTTTTAGTCTAAGTACAACTCTGTCTGGATTAGCATCAGTTTACCAAACTGATTTGTCTTCAGAATTCTGCTAAAAGTTTGCATCAGCTATTTAAGTGATATATTAGCTATGTTTCAGGAACACTTCAATGGTCTGAGTTTTCCAAAGGGAAGAGCAAAATAAATGTATTTTTCTTTTAGACACTAAATATAAGTTGAAGGACAGGTGAAAGGAAAGACAGACAAGGAGGTTTATAATGTTTAAACTTCATTTCTACTTTATCAAGGTAAGCTGTACTACTAGTATAAAGCACTGCTAACAACTGAACTGGTCTAAGGAAAAGATTTTAGATGTGCAGGAAAAACTTTTTTAATATTGCAAAGCCAAAGCATACCAAATGCAAGACATTTGCTTCTCCTGTCAATACAAGCAGCCAGTAGAACTGACGGCACAGTCACCCAGGCTATCAATCCTAACAACACCTACATTTAAACTTCAGCCTTACCATTTTTAGTTACCAAAAACTGTTTGTCAGTTGGCAGATAAGCCTTGACTTTCAGTTCTTCTCCTGAAGCCCTGTAAAATGAAGTGCACCAAAAGAGGTTGAGGATTTTATGATCTGTAAACAAAAGAATTCTTCTATTTTCATTGTATATCAAAAACATTTTATATGCTCCTCTTGACCTGTTCTCATAATCTGTTTGCTATGACTTTACTCTTCCCTATACAAAGACTTTGATATAGGTATGCAGTCCAAAAGGTTGTCCACCCCTAAACTATGGAGTCTTGGATCAAAACTTTTTCCTGCTTCAAATACTGCTTTCACTTTGAGATGGGCAAGCAAAGACAGGTTGACAGAACAAACTAGTCTATGTGAAATTTTCCAGGATCAGCAGCAACATAGTCCCAAATGTCTGAAGAAAGCAACTTCAGAAAAAGCAAGAACCTGCCCACTGTCACCAGAGCTCAGGTAATCTTTGCCAAGCTCACATTACTCAAAGATTCGCTTTCACCTTCAGTGGTTTTTGGTTTGAAGTAAGAGTAATGTTTCAAATAGCCTGTTCCAAACTGCTAGCACACAGAGCAGACTCAACATCATGTTTTCTCTGAAAGAGACAGTGAAAAGGCAAGAAACAATGATTCAAGCATAATAATTCCTTCTTCAGCTCTTCATGGCCCAGTACAGAGCCAAGAACCTCGATAATACCAACTGCACAGACAATGCCCATTTAGGCACTAACTGATTAGTTTTATAATGCAAGATACCAGTAAAACATCAGGAAGCATCTTATTGTACATGAAAGAGAAGGGATTTCCAAGGGCAAGCACTGCACAGACTGATCTGATGTGGGCCAATTTGAACGAATTTAATTAACAAATGCTTGTCTAAAATACACCAATTACAACGACTTCCCAGCAATTCCAGTCGCACACAGCCTTCGCTTTTTCAGTCACCAAGACAAGCTCAGGGAGACATGCTGCTACTGCAGCCAAGCACTGAAAGCATTCACAGTATGTACCAACTTACTTCTTCTAAAGCCTTAGGAAAACAAACAAAACATCCTCAGCCAAATCATCATCTCAACTACTGCTACACAGAACCATAAACACAATCTGCCTGACTGTTTCATCACAAAAACAGCACAAGTTCTACCGCAGGAGTTCATGTGCTACTCTGAAATGAGACAACTGTATAGTTGTATCTAATGGAAACACATCAAAGCATAGGTAGGGATGCTAGCTTTCTAGAATTCTTTTGATTTTACTTACCATTGCCAGGTAGGACAGTGGTGAACCAAGTGATCTCCAGCTGCGACAAACTGTTAAGGCAGGAAAAAAATTAAAGTACTGTTAAATATGGCATAAGGAAAATCTCCAATTTTCCTTAATATTAGTATTTCAGTTTCACATTCCTTTGACAGATTAAGTATGTAACTAGGAACTATTTACTTCAGTTGGATGCTTTCTTTTAACTCAATTTCTCAGCTAAGTATGAAAACCCAAAGAATAAATCAACTTAACCTGAAGTAAATGCATACTAAGCACAATAGCAAATTCAGATCAAGATTAAAAAGCTGTGGTATTACCTACCAGTCTTGTAACAAGCAAAAAAGTTTCTAGACCCAGTAAATTGTTTACTTTGTGATGAAGAAACTGCTTTTATTTGCCCCTTTTCAAAGTTTTATAAAGACAATTAAGAGCTTAATATAAAAAAAAATTATCTTTCTGTGTTCAAAACAATTTTGCAGCAAGAAAAAAAAGTGAGATTTCAAATTCACTGAGCCAGTGAGAGAACTGCAACAGAGAAACAAACAATATAAATTTTAAGTAATGACCACCACTGTGATAGTTCACCACTGATGTTAACTAAATATAGATAACCAGGTACTTAGTACACTGAAAAATTTATGTATACCTTTGTTCTGAAGAAATAGCTTTTAAAAATCTGCACTCTACTTGCTCTTAGTAGCAGAGATAAAGGCTTTTATAAAAATCACATCACTACATGAAAGTGATATCGGAAAACTCATGCTAGACTTGTGTACAAACTCAAAATTCACCCAGCAAAGTTAACCCACTGGGCTTATTTCTTGTACACATCAATTGAGGAAGGGAAGCCTGCATTTAAGAACAGTGATTTGTGCTGTCTTTGCACCAGTTACTATGGAAAATGAGGTACAAACCTATTGCTAGTTGGTTTTTTACCTTAAAATGCCAGTTTATAACAACATACTTCCTAGCTGACCAGAAGCTGTTGTACTGTGACACAACAGGCTTGCAGTGTAAGCGTCAGCCGTTTTCTCACCATGTCCTCCAAAGCGAAGCGTATCAGTGTAGTGGAAAATACCACAACATCCACCGCATATGGATTAACAGACTTAATCTCTGCAACAGTGAAATCTTCACTTTACAGAAAACAGCAATCCCTCCCAATACACATGGAAATTTTAAACCTCATTAGCCTCTACATAATAACACATAACACACAAAACTCTAGAATTCTTTAAAATTCTCTGTTCAAGGAACTGGAACACTGTTTGTGGCATTAATGTTGAGGTATATAATTAAAGATGATAAAAATTTAAAGCGTGCTTTGTGGGTCTAACAGATGCAAAAACCTAAAACAATACTTGACATTTCATTTGCATTTTCTCCAGCTTAGGCAGCGTAACTAATCCAGCTGGTTTCACTTTCTATTTCCCACGTACCAATTCTATCTCATACCTGAATCAATATTGCAAAAGTGGCAAGGAATCAGATATCATCTTACTTCTACTCCTGGAAAGATTATTTTTAATGTTTGCCTGTACTTACATATACAATTAAAACAGGTGGTGCCTTTCTGAGGTATTAACTAGTAAGAACTCATGACAGGCAAGAATTTGTTGAATATAAACCAAGTACAAAGATATATGAAGAGAGGAAGTAGGTGTTGAGTTTGATTAATGAGTCGTCTGTAGCTTTATCACTAATTGATTCATCTTCAGAGACAAGCCACAGGAACCCCACAAAGTCTCTGAAACAGCCAGCATCTCAAACTATAATACAGTAAAATTGAGACCCATCACCCAAGAAATCCAGACTCATTCAAAGATAACATCCTAGCATCATTACAGATTACTTCAGTTCTTCTTTAGCAGTCATGACTATATAAAGACTGAAATCATCAGGGAAGAGGAAAGACTGTCAAAGGGACAATCAGCAGATCGATGCTCCACTTCCACCTAAATTTAACAAAACATTCATCCTGCTGGGTACCTGTTTCCCTTGACTACTGCTTTGAAGGATCCAATTTATTCATCCTATCAGCATCTAACTTTATACAGAGAATACATACTATTTGTATTCTCTTCCCTTTGTTTAAATGCTGCAAACTGTTTAACGTAACACAGCGTGGTTCTTGCTATGTTCTCTAGAAAGTACTCTTTTTTTCAGTACTACCGCAAAGTTTTCTCCCGTAGATCAAAACGGGATTAAGCATTACTACAAGATTTGTCTAGACTTTCTCATTTGTTTTATAGATAATACAGATTATAAATATATTATCATGTAATATATAATATATAAACATTTATATAAATACACATGTATATGTATGATTATCAGAAGAGCAGAACATCATGTTGCTAAGTCTGTTTTTCTGAGTGGTACTCTCTTCTGGAGCATTGAAAGCACGAGTGTGTGCTTGCCATGCAACATAGCAGAAAAATGCTAGGTACCAATGTCAGGAAAACTACTTCTGTCCACATTATCTACCTGTATCAGTCACTATTTGTTCCATCTTCTTCCATCTCATATTCACATTTGTACATTCTGTCTCATTTTTCCTTCATTCTACCTAACAGTCTTAACATTGTTTTCTTATACCTCTGTAAAGACAACGTATTTTCAGAACAGCAGCACTTTAATATGGGAAAAAGCAGAACAGGGAAGTGAAAACAGCACTGCACTATCAGTATTTTTACTATTCTAGAAAAAAATCCTGTTTTGTTTCTTTTTGCAGTAGACTCCTTAAAAAACTGCAACTTCTCGACAGCAATCCAAAATACAACCAGCCTGAAGTAGCCTGTAGAGAAGAGGAGGGAAAAAAAAATAATCATTGGACACTTGGTGCGGACAAGGATATGTAATGATTTAGCCAGAGCCTTGGAAGGAACTGAAAGTGAGGTAAGCAAAGACTGTTCCCAAGACACACGCTCCCCTTTGAATTGCTTATGGGAAAGACCTTGGAAATCAATATATTCTTGTTTTAGCCCTGAACTCCCATGACAAATGGAGCTATCGACCCAGAATGAGCTTCCTTACAGGCTTTTCACGACGTAATACAGGAAAAAAGCATCCCATATCCCTATGTCAAGTGTCATCTCAAGAGGAATTCTGTTGATCTACTTCATCTGTAGATTAAAAGGGCCATTTAGAACTTCTACTTTGTGGAAACTGCTTCAAGAAGCAATAATTAGTTGGCAAAGACAGGAACTGTTTGAGATTAACATTGTCATTTTGAGTAAAGTTTATCACTACTTTCAAAATACACTTCAAAGTTTCTAAATACTTACTTCTTCAGGTGTAATTACTCCAGTTTCTTTAAACTTGGACTCCTGCAATAAAGAACAGAAATTCAGAAATTTTCAGAACTGCTGACAAATCAAAGTCCTTCACCTTACCGGTAAAACAAACATCTGCTCTACTTTTGTCTTGGAGCTAGCTCTGTCCACAGAGATCTGTGAATCAGCTTGGAGGCAACCTCTGCCAGGGCTGATAGGCAGCTTGCTTCCAGAAAACCAGCTGGAATCAGTGATTCTCACAGTCAGGACTCTGGGATTGTTCTAGGCGCTGAAAAGCCCTGCAATGCATCAACAAGAGGCTTCGCAGTTAAGGAAGGTCATGAAATGAATGGCCAAACTGATTTTTCTCTGCAGTAGGAAAAGTTACGTAGAAAGGCTTAGTAATAACTAAGTTATTAAAATTAAAATTTAATTATATTAAAATTAAAAGTTAATAGACTTTTTTGTATCTGTTTCTGCACCTTCATTCGCTTAGTAATAACTAAGTTATTAAAATTAAAAGTTAATAAGACTTTTTTGTATCTGTTTCTGTGCCTTCATTTTGTACCCCATGGAAACAGATCTGATTTTCTCATATCATAATGTTTTTTATGAAGCAAGCAGCAACATGATTTAGTTCTGCACGGGGAAATGAAGTACTCTTGCATTAAAGGTGACATCCGTGAAGTTTAAGGATACAACATTTTTAGCATACTCAAATCTACAGTAAGTGTATTTTGTTTCAGACTTCTGTTTCTGTTTTTTGCTTCAGAAAAATGCCTCAAGCATCAAGGAAACCCACTGTTCCCCAGCATCAGAGCTACCAAAGAATGGCTTTTGAAAAATTATACAATTTCAACCACGGTATAACTCACTTTTCAAGTTTTTGCGTCACCAGTTACCAAATAACTTCCTGCTCTAAAGAACTTTTTTTTTTTTTTTTCTATCAAGACTAAAAGCAGTAACTGAAAAGTACCTCATTTTTGGCTACAACTTCACTCTAGTCCATCATTAGGAAAACAATAAAGGAAATCAGCTGCCTCTTAACTCAGTTATTCTCAATGCTTCACCCTGGCGCATGCTATCACCCCTGCTATGTAAAATGAAATGGGCACACCCGTTTCACACGATACTGATCACTTCCCTTCTCTCCCATTTCTAAAGATGAGATATTTAAGAACAAGAGTAAGGATAAGCAAAACAACAGTTGTACAAACACCATAACATCACTATACGCTAGTTAACGGGAAATCAAAGAAACTCAAACAACCCTAATTTAGCAATTTGGGTTGCCGTAAAACTGAGAATTCTCAATAACACACGATACAGCACCACAGTGGAGACAACTTACTATTTAACCTCAAAATGAACTACGAGCAGTAGGCAACATGCACGAACTTGTGTTTCTGTAACTACATAAAGAAAATATGTAAAATATCCACCCTCTGTTCCCTAAGGTGATATGTAAGCTAGCAAGAGACATGGGTTTCTTTATGACATTACCAAGTTGCAGTATGTATTTCAACCCCTTGTAAAGGGTACATATACACATAATATTAACACCTCCCATTTGTGGGAGGTTCTACTCCTGTCTCCTCCCAGTAGTATATCTGGGCACAGGAATTCCTCCACTATCACACCAGCTGTGCAACAACAACTGTACAACAGTAAAGAAGTCACTTCACCTTTCCACACCACAACTTCACTGCAGCCCATATGCATCACATTGGTGGTGAACTCTAGAAAGGTCCACTATCCAGGCAAGAGCATACTATAGACCACAGGAGGGACAAGTTCAATTAATAATTGAGCGTTATTGTCTCCTGCTCAAAGATTTAGGCTGCAGAGTACAAGGCATAATGAAGGTCACATCACAAAGCCACAAGCAGAGAGGTTGCTCTCATAAACAATTACAGATGTACTTTTTCAGAAACACGGAAAATTGTGAAATTCTGTAATGAAAGAACTGCTGACAAATTATCATTCACACACAAAGTTGGGTTTTACACAAAAAGTATTTGTAAATAGGAGGTAGAAGATTAGATGTAGTCTAACAACTGCAGAAAACCACGATTTGTTCCTACTGAAATAAGCAGTAACAGGAATTCTAACAGATGTGCTGCCGACCTTTATAAGCAGCCTGTCAGAATTCACTCTCAAGGACAAAACAGTCCATTTTTACTATTTGCAGTTACTTTAGCACACAAAGGCTTGTATCAATATACTAGTGATGATACAGAAATAAGCTATGCTACATAACTTTATACCTGCTCACATAGGGAAGATGTGACTAGGTTTTATTTATGTCAGCTGAAGAAGTTGCACTCCTACCCAAAAATAACCGTTGCAACGCCTTCCTGAAACCAGGCTTAAGCCTACGGGTACACAAGCACCTTTGAATTTCCATTCCTGGTCTAAAAACAGGTAAAGTTTGGTCACTTTAATAGAAAATAGTAACAAATAAGTTATTCCTCGAGTAGGACCAGTAACACCTGGTCTTCGAAGGCCTGCACCTGCCAGGGGAGTGCTCCCACCCCTCAGGGGACGTGAGCTCCAGCTCAGCTTCCCTCCCTGCCTCCCTCCCACACGCTCC